GATCAATTTTTAGATGAAGAGCGCTTCGCAAACCCGCAACTAACAGAAAAAATTTTCATCAAAACATCTTTTGTATTCACATTTGAAATTTTTGATAGAAAGCATGATCACATTATTTCAGAATCACTAGTTGATATTCAAGCATACGAGAGCTTCTATGATAAATTTCAGTTATTTTCACTAACCTTTCATTTTCTTTCACCACAGGAACGCGATTTGCACTGTTCCCACGATATTATGTTACGCACTAAACAAACGCACACATAAACATACTATCGTTTTATACAAAATCATTTTGATTTACACACCCCATCAAGACAACCTCACCATCGTTTTCAGTTTCTTAACTCAAAATACACGTCACCATTTTTTCTTAACTTTACATATTGCATTAAAGATCCTAACCTCCACTGCATCCTCCGCAACTATGACCCAGTTACCCAAATGTATATATTTTGTCCCATCACCAAGACCTTCAATCCCAAAGAATCAAGACCCTTCCTTATCCCGCATGAATTTATGCAACCTAATGAAATACCCATATTAGAATTCATTCACAATACTAAATATAATCATAAAATATATAACCTCATCCAAAACACACCTTGAGAGTTTGCAGTTGGCACAGAAGAACTAAACACCATCAAGGCACTTCAATTGCTTTGGCCACTGCTACAAACTAAAAATATCATAGCATACTAGCCAAATTACTAACAACATCAGACATGATTCACGACATCTTCCCCCACGGCTTTTTCCCAGAAGATTAAGGCAAGTATAATTTGAAATAATTTTAACTAATAAATTTAAATTTATACTAACCATTTTCTATCAACGTTTGATTTATGTTTTTAGTCTTCACACCACGATCATCTACAAAACAGAGAAGAAAAATAAAAATACAAACTTGTTAAATTATCTTAAAATTCATTAATTTCTTGCACTAAATAATGTCGTAAAATTCATACCAAATGTAGTAAATTTATTTATAAATTATTTCCCCATGAAGCAGTAAACTTGAATTACGATGAAAATTTATAATTTTAAACTTCCCCAAAACGCCGTAAAATTCAAATTCTATGCAATAAATTGATAAAATGAGAAAGCAGTACTAACCTTTTCAATGCTTTCATTCACTCGCACAAAAATTTTATCCAAACTCGCACAGCTCGCCCACGAAGAATTGTTTAAATAATGATTTTAAGTTTCAAGCTTTCACTATCAACAACTCAAACACACGATAACAAGTTTCAAACTTTCCTTAAACCCGGTTGGAAAGGAATTATATACTAAACCAAACTAAACAACGCAGCTTACTAAACACCACAAATCATAAAATAACAGCATGACTAAGAAAAGAAAACCAACGGTACCCAAACCGGATTAACCCAGTTTAAAACTGGATAATTTATTCTATTGAAGACTATTATAAAATCTAAGAAAGAAATAATAAAACACAAAAAAGTCGCAAGACAAAAAACCCAAACCAAAACAATTTGATTTTTGAAAAAAGGACACTACCAAAGTAACATAAGAAAGACCAACATAAACCCGACATAAAACGTTATCACATAACAGGACCTCTCAAAGAAACAGCATGCAATCATACTCCCACTCCTGGCCTAACCCACCAGAGAGGACGTCCTGAGCATGCTCTATAGCCGGCCTAACCCACCGCGCTACATCCACGCTTTGCGACCACACTTTTATTTTTAATAAGAGGTACTCAAGGGTGAGTGACTCTTCAAAATAACTGAACTAAAACAAAACGCTTTTGTGAAAACGACTAACTAAATTCATGATTAAAAAACCGAAGTAACATAAATTTATAAAGTGTAAATCATACTTTGCAGTATATAGATCATACACATCAACAAAGACGAACATCCAAAAACTAGATGATCCCATCACACTCGAACAAAAGAATGGCTAAACACAACCGACATGTCGTCCACAATCACGACTCAAAGGATTTAGAGTACTACTTGACTTCGAAGAAAAGGACTTCATTGAAGTAGACCAATGACCACCTCGATGTTTAAGTATACGTACAGATCCGAGTTACAAGGCATCCCTTCCACACACGATCTTCACGCCATTCCCAAACGAGGCTGGACACAAAACAGTTCTCTACTAATACAGAAAAACCTGACATAACAAACCATTTTGAAATCGGATTGATTTCATTGGGGATCATAGTCGCTGTCGGATGACGAATTAATAATTTCCTGTCCCTATTTCCAGCGTCCTGGAACGTTCTTCTTCAAGAGGAACCGGATAAGAAAATGATGTTCGCCAAATACCAACGTTCATCGTCCATCCTTCAAATTGCAGAGAAGAAAGATAGTTCTAAAAAAACTCTGTAAACCCCGGATGGGTGGAACCTGATCTAAGCTACATTTTATGATTGGATAAATTAGATATTTTACCACTGTAAAAATTTAATATTAACCAATCATAATCCATCCAACTAACAACCCACTTATTTGTAAGTGCTGAAATTACTTGTAATTTCAGCACCAGAGAGATTTGAATTTAACTTAGAAATTAGTTACTTCTCCAAGAGAACTTCAACAGTTGCAATAAGCCAGCATTGAGCCTATTGAGCCTAGCAGAGACTAGTTAAACACCCTGAGACTAGTAGATATAAGAGTAAGATTAGGATCGGTATTAGACTAAGAAGTTGCACAAACCTATCCGGCCGAAAATAAGATAGCGTGACGAGCAGACAGTGTACCCTATCCTAAATTACTCTATGAGTTAAACACATTGGCACTAACTCAGTTTCCCCTTGCCTTCGTAATTTTTTTCTCTCCCTGCCCCTGCACTGTTTGTACAGTCTTTTGCCTCATCGCCTCTTGCTTTATTGGTTTCTTGCTCTTCTCAGATTTCGCCATGATCTTGAGTTTTAAAGCCTGTGGTTTTTTATCCCGCAAATTTTGAGTTGCTTCTTTGTTAGACAAGGTTATACTGTCCCTGTTTCGATTTCGCGTGACTGTAATTTGTTCAGGTGACTTGGAATCTAATGTTATAAAAGCTTGTATCTGCACCTTGTTGCTGCTTAAGCAGCGGTCTGTCATCCTCAAAGTCGCTCCCTTCACTTTCTTCACTCCGAGTTTTTTTGGTCTTTTGTACTTTGATTTTTGGCTCTGCAGTGGGACTTTCACTTGACCCATGGATTGGTTTTCTTATCAAAAAAACTCTGCTTCTGCCATGTCGCTCTTCCAGTGATTTACCGTGATATCTTGGATAGCGTGGATAGCAAAAAGCGTTCATCGTGGATAGCATAAAATACTTTCTCTTCTCAATGGTAAGTTGATGATTTTCCAATTTTTTCTGTTCTCGTCAAAATTAAAAGAGACTTTTTTGTTGCCTGGTTTGAAAATTCTTCCTTGTCTTCAATAAACCTTTCTCCCAGGAGTATGACATTTCTTTTTTTCCTGTTTATTTAGACCTGTTTAGTCTACGATTTTGCGTATGTCGGTTTTAGCCGCATCCAGTTGTTCTTCGCTCCGCTTCGCCATCGCCTCTAGAAGATTTTTCAGTACTTTTGCTCTTTCACTCTCACGTGCTGTTGCCCGTTGTTTTTTTTTATACCACAGACCTGTTTCTCTGCTATTCATTCCTTTCTTTTTTTAAATTTCACGCTCTCTCGATTGGTCGATCCTTCGTTTTTATTGCGACACAGATTTACCGTTTCTAACAGATCAGAATTAAATGATGTTATTCCTGATATATTAATTTTCTTTTTTTGGCGTTGTTTCGAAGTGTGCCCCAAACAGTGAATTTTTTTTTGCTTTCCGTTTATTTCATCTCAAATTTCTACTGATTGTGCTCAGTCTGAGTTTTATGGACATTTTGTTTTCGCTTAGTAGCATCAGCCCAGTCTTCTTTTTACTGTTTGAATGGTACTTTCAATCAACCCATAAGCTGTGTCGTCCCCACCCGACTGAAATTTTGTTAGAAATTATTTTCCGTGCAGAGTTTGTCTTTTCTTGTGACAAGGGTACCTCTCTTGTTTCGAAGTTTTGCGCTGCAGATGGTTTACTGAGAAAACTAGCTGTGCTTCTAATTAATTTCAAGGCTAGTAGATCAAGATTTCTCGGTAAAAATTTTAATGCTGGTAGATCGAATTGGTCGCCATTAAATATTTTCAAATAGGCTACTGGCTTAAGTTTAGTGACTTTTGGAGTTTTGCTGCTATTTCAATGATAGTTTTTTATCATGTATGTCTCCTGAAAATTTGCTTGAGTAGTAGTTTTTGTTCTCATATATAATTCTGGAGAGATGACCATAATTTATATCATTTGTTTGAATCTTGTTTTTGGCTTTTTCGAAACTATTTGAACAAACAGTTGACAGAGGGTCACACACATCAAAGTTATCATTCAAATATCAGCGAATTTACTTTTTGCTCACTTTGCTGTAAGCGAGTACTCTCTATAAAATTGTTTTATGGCTTCTATTTCTGTCGACAATCTTAAAATTTTGCTATCAAAGTATCAGTTTTTCGGTTTCAATTTTTTTAAGAAATGAGTTAACCGTCAGTTTTGGGCCTAATTGTTCTAAAAACTAACAACATTGTAGTAAACTATGGCAAGGAAGGGTCTTTATACTGCTTTGAGAGAGCTCAAACAACCCTTTCAAGAAAACCCATTTTGTCAATTTTTTTAGGAGACGGAGAAATTATCCAACATTTTTAGGAATAGATTATAAGCTTTCCAGAAACTCAAAAAAGACCATATTCAGCCTCCAAATTCTCCGACACAGGTAAAACTTCAAAAAAAAAAACTAACAAAAATGGCGTTTTCGGGCATTTCCTATATTTAGTTTTTTTGGCGTACGCTCCTCCCCATCAATATCTTACGTTTTTCAGCCAAAAGACTTGATATCCTGAAAAAAGCGCCATCTGCCCTCTTCAAAGTAACCCCTCTGTTATAGAATTACTTTCGAAAGCGTAGAAATTTTTGTTACACAAACCAACTAAAATTTTTATTTACAATTCTGAAGAAGTCTTCGTTGTGGCATTTGAAAAACTGTTTCAGTTTGCTAACTACTCGTTCATCAACTAGTTCTTGTCGCCTTCCTTTAGCGTTTCCCAAGCATTTGTGTTTGCCCATGTCACTAACAAAGCAGTAATACCCTTTCGTTGTGTTGTTTGAAAATTTAGTACTAGTGAAATAGTTGCTTTTACCCAAAAACTTCTCGATTTTGGCAAGTTCAATAGATGGATTATTGCGTTGTAAATTCTCTCCATCGACAATATGAATTTGGCTTCTTGGGAAGAATTCTAAGAATCGTTTCAGGTGATTGGCGTATAAGCTAGGACTGATCAACTCTGAAGATGGATCGATTTCTCCGAATCTGTTCAAGAGTTTTCTGCTAATGTCAACGTGAAACATTCCACTGATTGATTCCTAAACGAACAGTTTCATTAAAAAAGTGTCAGTATGTCGTACATGGCTTACAAAAAAACAAGACTGCTCGTATCAAGGCGAAGTCCTGAAAGTTCCGACTACCTTTTAAGGTCTATTGAGCATTAATAAGATGAAAAATTTCAATGTAACAAAAAAAATAAAAAAAATTTTTTGAAAAAATTTGAGATTTTATGTAAAAACATCCCCCCACACGTCATATTAAGTACAAAGTGATAGATTTTGCGCCTATTAACAAATCAATTATGGCATATAAGCTTCCTTGAACCAATTTGGAACTATTTCTATTAAATATCGCTCGCGCGTTAATAGCGCGAAATTTATCGCGCGTTAATTGTCCCAAATTGGCCAAAATGGCAATCTTTAAACCCCCATAACTTTACGAAAAATGATCACAGGTAAATTATCTTTTCAAATTCAAGCTCAGAAAAACAATAGCTTTCGAATGGTATAAAAAATTCCGTCAAAAACGGCTAGTTAAAAAGTCGAAGTTTGTCTGAAGAAAAAAAACCCACCCCGATCACAAATATTCCGTTACTTTCGTATCAAAAGTCGGAACAATAACGTAATTCTTATCAAAAAAGTTCTTCAAAAAAGAATTATTCAACTCCAGTTACGTAAAACTATCATTTTGTATAGGGATAGCATTTATGATTTTATGTCGTAATACTTCAAAATGCCAAAATGTCATAATCAGAACAATCTTAGGTATCTTCTTAAGCAAAGAAAGGGTTGTTGTCACCTGTGTGTAGTCTGAAATAGTGCGTTTCACTGGCTCTCTCACCACTATAATGATCTTCATCTTTGGATCCATATTCCATATAAGGCGGGTAACGTAATCTTCATGGAAATACTTGGGTGTCTTTTCAATCCTAATTTGGTGAAATGACACAATAGTTCTCTCAAATCAGTTTTACTCTTATTTTTTTTGCAATAATTACGGTCGTGATGGAAAATTCTCAGCAAAATGTTTGATTTAAAAAAATTGTTTTTTAGAATTTAAGAAAACCAGAACATATAAAACCATTTATGTTATAATCAGGAGCGGGGGATGCGGTAGGATGGGTGTACGCTTTGCCTCTCCCTCGCAGTGACTCAACCTCCTATTTTCTCGAAGTCCTCTTCTCCCTTTTAGTACAATTTTACGACCTCTCAGACAAAAAAAATTAAGGCGCCTTTGACGCAATTATTTAATTATTTCCTTCGAGGACGGCGATCCACCAAAATGCAGTTTCAAGTACTGTTTTTGCTTTTTTCCATCTACGGTGCGATAAACGATTTGAAAATTAATGCGACAGTTGTATCGTTTCCCCATTCCTGATTTGATCTTCTCTGCTTCTTGGGCTAAATTGGTTCACGTACCATCTGTACCCTCGTAAGTAGTTCCAGGGGTGGTTGAAAAACTTGATCTCGGAGGGGTTGAAGTTTATGTCGGGGTGCTGCATCAAAAAACTTCTCAATGCACCGGTGCCACATTTTTTCACACCAACGACTAAGGCTTGAGGCAGTTCTTTTTTAATCTGTAAAATGAAACGATGCATGATATAACCTTTTTTATATCGCCTTTGACGCTCATTTTAGATAGAAATTTGGAATAGAAGATAGAATGTTTGAGCTGTGCTGTGGTGTGATATTATTCTTCAGTTTTGATGTTTGTTATGTTTATCAAATAACAGTCAAAACAAATTTTTGGTACCAACTGAAAAATTTCCTGAGCTAAGGTTACACTAGTGGACAAAATTAAATATAAATTCAGGTTTTTTTTCTTCTAAAATTTCTTTTCATTTTCCTCCTTGGACAACAACTCCTTCGAGCTTCAGTAAAGTTTTTACATGGACTAAGAGCAAATCATCAGAGCTACCCTCTATGAAGCTAACAATTTTTGGTTTCAAGGACTTACCAATGTAATTCGGGTCTGAAAATGCCACATTTCTTCATCTGCACTATTTTTTGCATCGTAGTGAACACTTTGTTCAATAAGCGGAGTAATCAGTTGTTCATAGCAAGAAAATTGAAACAATCAGTACGAAACTTTTATTGAACTCGACAGTTTCCTAGCTTTCCACGCGGATTGAAAAATTTAGAGCATATGAAGAAGCCTGAATTTTTCAAACCCGGATTACATTACTAAGTCTTTAAAACCAAACCATGATAGTTTCATAGATGACAGCTCGCGTCTTATGCACAAAACGGCCCAAAATCAATTTTTTTTTATCATTAGTTAAAACTTATGCAGTCGAATCTGACTGGCTAATATTAGCCGTCCAAATTCAAGCAATATGTTCAGGCAATTCAATCAAAACTTGCAGCAGATAGAAATATTAGCCGAAATTACCAAAATGTTAAACTTTGTCTAATTTTTTTTTCAAGTAACTCGAGTAATTTTGCCCGTACGAGAAAACTTCGTAAAATGACTTCAGCAGAATTAAAGTTTTAGGATCTTGTTAACTATTTCCCCCTGCCCTATGGTACCTTGTAACGAACCCCCCCACCATAAAGAAAGAATTGAACAGTTAAGCATATACGATTTGGTACCTTGTAACGAATCCCCCCTATTGCAATAGGGGTGGGATTGTTAACAAGATCCAAGTTTTATAATTTTGTTCACTTGTGCCCATAATTTTAATCTGCTTAGAGTTTTAATTGAAATGCCGTACCATGTTGTTTGGATTTGAGTGTCTGATTAGCCAATCGGATTCAACCATATTATTTAGAGTTCAAGAAAGATGTAGAAATACTAATTTTGGGCCGTTTAGTGCATAAGACCCGATAGCTTTGATGTTTTCCTCTTTTTTTGTAACAACTTTCCTGAAAAATGAACTTAATGTAGTCCAAAGTGGACAATGAAAACAGGTGTTTTAGAGAGTAAAGTTCTGAATTTGCGCTTAAATTTGTCCATTAGTGTATTTGTTACCATTTTTTTGTAAATACATAAGGTTGAAAATTGTCCCTTTGAGACACCTACAGCGCAAAAAACTTCGTATGACGCGTAGCTTATGTGAATAATTAAATCTGCTTAGAATGTTATTGAATCAACTATTGCGTAAACGAGAAACATTCAATGGTTTTCGAAGTTGTATGTGGGAAAAGGTTCTGTAAAAGAACGACAACGACTTTCAAAAACATCAAGTATATCCATTACTTTGAAGTAGCGGTGCGACAGCTGGAGACAATAACTGAAAAGAGGACCCCAATCAGCAAACAAAAATTTTGTTGAAAAAAAAACAAAGCTTACAGGATAGACCATCTGTAAGTCACTAAACATAAAAAAAACTGAAACTTTTTTCTCATCATACTTTTTTTGAGAACAAAAGAACTGCAAAAAATGACATCGTTAAATTAATATTGGGAAAAAGAATTTTGATGCGATGACTAAGCCGACATAACTTTGTATTCGAGATTGCTTGTATTAGGGCAAACCCCTGAATGCACGGACTTTCCTTGGTAATATTTGGTAACTTTTCCCAAGAAAGGAAAAACAGTTAGCTTCAAAAGTTACAAGGCGATAAAACTTGAAAATTCCATGTTTCCTAACTGTTTTACTGCTTCCCTCCGTCAGCCACAGCTAATATCAAGAACTGAGTACTTGAATTAGTTCACCATTTTGCCCAGTTTGGTAATTTTTCAATTCAAAACAAGGATAAAATTTCTCAAAAAAATGGAAAATATAAATTTAAACTTGCAATTTTTCAAAATAGCACGCCTCAGTTCAATTTGGAACAATTTCTAAGATGGATTAAATCGCCGCCTACGCGTTAATAGCCAAAAATTATCTCGCGCGTTATAAGTCCCAAATTGAACAACTTGGTAATCTTTGAATCACCATAACTTCACGAAAGATAACAGGTGAAACAACTATTGAAATTTGAGCTCAGGATAACAATACCTTTCAAATGATGCAAGAAATTGGCATTTAAAAAGTCAAAAACGGGCACAAATATATTGCATTTTTTTTTCAAAAACAGCCGGAGCAATTAATTTTGCTGTAGTGCGGATTAACTCAAAGCACTCAAAAAATCTGCGCATATGCATTGAAAATCGTATATAAAATTTTGAAAGCGCATTTGAATTAGTTCACCATTTTGCCCAGTTTGATCATTTTCAAAGCCACAGAACTTGTCAAAAGCCAGGGAAATGTCTTATTACAATTGAACTCAGTTGATTTAAATTTTCAATGCGGTATAAAAGATTTTCGTAAAGAACTAATGTTTCAATCCACACTGTTTCAAAAAGCTTCTTTACTTTACCCCGCTTGCAAAAAACTACACTGAGCATAAATTTGCCAGTGCTTTCTTCAAAAATCAGAACAAAAAGCAACTTCTTCCCTTATGTAAGTAAAACAACCCATTGAACTATCTCAGCGATGCGCATATAAGAATTTTGATATTCGCGACGAAGAAATTCTTGCTTTGCAAGAAACAATTTGTTCAAGTTTTAAAATTACAAATACGGCAAAATTTTTAAATAAAAGACGCCAACTTATTACCAATTGCTAAATGTTGCACAATTTCTAAACGTTACCTATTTCTAGATATTGTCTGTTAATTTCTATTTGAATTTTACCCGCCCTTAAAATCTTACTTTTAAAATCTTCAAAAAGTTTTGATTTTTCTTTTTGTCGAAAAAGTTTTGATTTTTTTGTCAAAAAAAAAATTTAGAAAAAATTATCTGTATACTCACGAAGTCAGTTTTATGCCAGAAACAAAGATAGTAAAAAGAAATGATTACAATAAATACGGTTACGTAAAGACGTCTATTCATCACTACCGTCAAACTTCAGTAACTTCGGTCTAAGGGAAATTTTGTTCTTGTAAAATTGGTGTGACTAGCTTCGAACCATTGAACTGTAACCGCGCAAGTGCATAAATACGCTTTTGCATTTCCAGTTGAATTAATTGAAAGTAACATTAATAATAAAACTCATGTGATATATTTTGCTCTAATAATTTCCCAGTGATACATGTAGAAATCTAGCAAGTCCTTAATAAAGACATTCAAAACGTCAGTCAAAACAAAATTTAACCTAAAAACAAACCTTTTTTTTATCTATTCGCCGTTGTAAAGTTAAATACATTGACGAGCTTTGGGATTCCTTGAAAGTGATAGGCAATAGATTTTCTTGAAAATTGACTTCTTTTAATGTTTGGAAATTAGCACCTGAATCTATTGTTTTGAGACACTTTTTAAGATAATTCAAACGAAATTTTTGATTCGCAAGACTGTTTTTAGATCGAGTAAACATAATTTAAAAAAATCTTTTCAATCGTTTCTTGTTCTCGTTTATGTCCGAACTTATATTTGAAGGTTGGGTATCAAAAAAAAAATATATTTTGAATTTTTGAATCTTAGGTGTTCTGCTAATTTGATTCTCATGCCTTAGTGAAGTCAGGCTCTGAGAATTGTGAACAGGCAAAAAACAGGGTAAAAGAGATATCGTTTTTTAAGTCTCGTGCACGTGTTGAGAGAAGACAAACAAAATCCAAGCAGAGAGCTATTTAAACGCCATTCAAGAAACCAATTAAGCAATTTCGATTACGCTTCTTAGCATTAATCCAGCTATTTACAACAATTTAGCTTTTTTCCACATTCGCGGCCTTGTGGTTCAATATATAAATTCTGCAGAGAAATTAAGGCTAACGAAAACAACAAAACAAGAATAGCAGGTTGCAAAAAACACAAAAACTTCCGACCACGAATGTTTTTATACAGAACACTTTTTTTCAAACTGCTTTTCATCTGTAGTATGATAAAAAATCTGAACAAAAGCATAAAAATTAGGCATATTCGATGGTAATTGTGAAATAGGTTTGGTTCACAACAGTTTTACCGAACAAGGAATAGAGACAAAAAAAAGCTCAAATAAAAATAATCTTTCTCGACTCAAATTGATTTTTAAGAATTCGACACAGAAGCGAAGTTGCACTTCGCATACACAAGGCAAAATCTGAACAATTACGCTTCCGGGGAGAACTGATTGAGTAAAACTTTGAGTTTCCAAAATTTCTTAAGTGACGCATGCCAATTATGACGCATCAGCGGTACCGGTCAATTTAAAAAAAAATTTATTAACTAACATGGCTCAATATACAGAGCGGTAGTATTTTAAATAGTATACGAAAAAGTTGATTAAAAACATCCGACTCTTCCCAAGTTCGAACTCTCTTATTTTGTAGCGGGTCTCCTTCCCTACCTCTAGGCTACAGATCATTGATACTTTGAAGCTAAAGTTGTTTTTGTAATATAATAGGCTGTGTTAATATCCTTAGCATTGGCTGTATTTAGTAGCTGGTCACTGATCAAAACGAACACTTTCAAAATAAATACATTTTGTCGCAACAATAATTGCGTCTCAACAATATTTGCGACTTAGAGTGGAAAAAAAGAGTTCATATTATAACACAATTTTTGCATGTGTAAAAACTATGAGCCTATTAAAAACCTGCTCGCTGGCTTCATTTGGTAGAAACTAGACTAAAACAAAAAACTTTAATTGTTCTATTTTTTTCCAGAATGGGTAAAATGTTTGTAGTTTTTTACATGTTGTTCGACTCACAGCAAATAGGACTTCAATATGATATACCACTCAACCCATTCCGATGATTATTTATGGTACCTGATTTCGCGTGCAAAAACACCCAAAAACAATTATTTTTTTCCAGTTTCAATGGGCGAAACAAAAAAAGCAATTCAAAAAGTATTTTATGGAATTGCTCTGCGATATATTCTAACCTCCAGTCACATGAATTTGACCAAGCTTCAACAACTTCAAAATGAGCGCCCATTATCAGCTAAAAATAGCCAAAAGAGCTATTTACTCCAGCAAAAACCAACAATAATGATGGTTATTAGACAATATTTTTAACACAAATTTATTCGAGATAATACTCTCCTCGGCCGTTTTGACAAGAACTCACTTGCGATTATGCTGTTAGGTTGAGTATTGCAAGCAAGCGGCACTAACAAAAAACCTATTTAACAACTGGAACTGTAAATTTTTGAATTGATTTCAAGTATCACTATAGAACAAAAAAAGTTCAATTGGAAAAAAGTCTTCGTAAGCAATGCGACAAGAGGAATAAAAAGATGTAAATGTTGCTCTTATGTTTTAAAATGAGCAAAAACAATCCGATTTTAAATCCTTGTACGTAGTCTAATGAGTTCTGGTAAAAAGCAGCAAATCTTGAAGAAAAACAAAAAAATTGCACAAAACATTTAATTGCAAAAAACGACCAAACAAATTGGTAAGGGGAGGGTAATTTACTACTTTAACCCTTGCTCATATCTCAGAATATGTACTACTATATCACTGAAAATAGAGGCTCAGCTAAAACTGGAGGTACCTATTTACTATTCTTTGAATTTGCTGTTTTGATGCGGGGTGAAAATGGCTATTTCATATTTCATAAATTGGGCTTCAGCCAAAGCCGTAGGTATTTTTAAACAAAACAAGTTAAAGAAAAATTTTTTTATTAATGGAATTTTCTCAAGAACATAGCTTTTTTAAAACAAATTTTGGGGCGTAGCCGCTTCTGTTCGGAAGCGTCCTACAAGCAGTTGCCTCGTTAAAATCTGAGTGCAATGAATTTCCTGAAAAAAATAGCATACCTGTTTAAACAGGGGAGTTTTTTTCACTCTTTTTTTGATTGATCACAAAAGTTCACATTTGGTAGGGTAGTTTTCACTTAAAATCATAAACTTTTCAAAAAAAAAGTCAAAACTTAAAAATTTGAGTTTTCCGAGCGCCATAACTTTGCAAGTATAAAAAATTAAGCTTAGCCGCTCATGTAGGCGAGAATCGAACAGACTCAGATCATCTCAGATTTTTGAGTAGTTTTTGAGACAAGTTGCATTAAAAAACGGTCAAAAATCAAAACTTTGATTTTTCCGAGGGCCATAACTTTTCATGTACAAATTGGGCAGGGCCGCCAAAGCAGATGAACTTCCCATAGCCCACTGTTTTGAATGACTGTAAACTTTAAGATTTGGGAGTGTAGTTTTTGAGGCAAGCCAAAAAATTTGGTACAAAAATGAAAGATTTGACTTTACCGAGGACAATAACTTTGTGTAAAAAGTTGAGCGCAACTACGTATGTATGAGAATTTCCTACAATTTCAGCTTTCTTATCCGTTGAACATTAAATCTCCGATTTGAAAGACTAGTTTTTGAGCAATTAAAAAGCCAAGGGTAAAAAATAAGGGTGAGGTAAGGTAAAGATTTTTCATTGTAAAAAAAGTTAATTATAAATCCGAAACCCACACATTTTCATAATGCGCAAACCATGTGATACGTCACAAACACACAATGGCAAGGTAGTTGACAGAAAAAGAAACAAAACACAAGCAAGCAAAAATCACTGCAAAAAAAAACGATCAACTACATTTTTATACGCTTGCCTCGATTAAATTTCCATTTGAAAAAATATATGTCTATTGAAACCAAAGTTCGAGCGTTAAATTAGCATTCAAACAACCTTTATCAAAAGTTAACGCAGCTTTAAATTGTTGAGTAGACGCCCGTGAAGCCTAAAAGAATTTTTTTCCATCTACATAATATTGAGTTTTTAAACTTTGTGATGAAAGCGAAAAAAATTTAATTTTTAAATGACAAAACTTACTTGTTTAAGGTTACTTAAAGTTGAGACATGAGAGCATTAATTTTGGTAGTTAAAAAAGCCTAATTAACATCATTACAGTTTTCTATTGTTCCCCGAAACATTTTGAGAACCACTCGGTTGCTTGAATCAAACAAGAACTAGGTTATTGTCGTCAAAACCAAAGCACATTTTCCACTCATCAGATGGCTGCCTTTTGCAAAATATAGCCATCAGAAAATTGATGCAATCAAGACATCCGGAAATAAAGCATTTTAAGTTAATCGAGTTAAAAGACAAACTCCCTTTATCTCTACATTGATTTTTTTGTAACTGTAGAGAATAAATTGTCAGAGAACCACCATTTTTTTGAAAAGAGAAAGAGTCAAAAAACGCGCATTTTCCGTCATGTTAATTTCCAAGGGATCTTAAACAGGATCAAACTTAATCTTCAAAAAATTAATTTTTTTAAATTTCAAGGTATATTTATTTATAAAATCCCACGTGAGCTTACTTTAATGAGCATACAATTCGATCCGAAATACTTTTTATCACTTTGAATCCTTATCTCTTCTACTTTTTAAAGGACCATTTATTTCTTTTATGGACACTGCTGCTGTTAATCGTTAGGTTCCAAACTTTTTACTCAGAGTCTTTTGGTCAATAATCCGCTTAACCCCTGCGTAAACTATCTCTTTCCATTAACTGGGATGCGAAATTATCAGTATTTAAATGGGGTGAACTTGTAGAGAGGCTGTGTTGTTATGGGTGATAAAAAAGGGAGTAAAGAAGGAATGAAAATATAGCCAACTGACAGGTGTAGAAGAGTAATGAACCCAAGGAAACTGAAAAAAAAACGAGCTTCTTTTTTCAAAGATCTTCAGCTTTTGAATTTCGAAAAAAATAGATGGCCTTAAAGCTCTTTGAATTTGTAGAAAAATTTACTAAGGAAATGTTTTTGTTAAAATTGACGCAATTGGAGAAAACTGGATCAATAGGTAAAATTTTTATTTCGCTGGGAAATCTGATAAAAAAATTTGCAAAATTAGAAGTCGATCACGCTTTTCGTGACACTTACAATTTGCCGTTCAATTGTAGAAGTTGCCTTCCCTGTAACAATAGAAATACACTACACTTAAAAAAAATCACAAGTCAAAAAGCAAAAAATCAAAACTGAGCGTGAATAAATTTTGAGAATTTTTTCTGAAAAAAAAAACAAAAAAAATCAGCAAGACCTATATAAGAGTACTCACTACGTTCATTACTCTTAATAACGGGTTAAAGAGTTGTAAACTGTTATTTATCACCATATAAGGCTTCAAACCCATAGTACTCATACACACGGGTAAATTGTAATCTGAATAGATTTTCTCTTGCTCGCGTTTAGCCCTCACTAGCATCTAATACATAAGCTTTCTGAACCATAAAAAATGTTCCGTCTCAAAATATATTACGTTTTTAAATGAAATAAATCGAATTTGTTCTCAGGAAAGTTTTTTTACTGCAAACTAAAACATTAAATCAATCGGAGCTTTAAGCAATGTAATGAAAAACTCGAAACCATATATAGTCAAATAGAAATTTCGCAATAAAACAAAAACCAGCAACATTAATAAATTGTATGTATAACATCACTAGTAGCAGTTTTGCAGACAGTCGATAAGTTACTTCTACAAATAAATAGCCTTGAACTATGAAAACTTAAATGACATTAAGCAGCATTTAACTCCGCATCGTCATGTTAAAATGTTTTTTTTTTTGTAAATTTTGACAAACGTACTAAGCTCAGCATCTTCATTTAAAATTCATACTACTTTATGCCATTTTAGTTATTCAGACTTGTTTTGAGCCATTTAGTACATCTATAAAATACGGATCCGCAGTTTGTGGCAATTTCTGGTGTTAAAGAAATGTTTCAGGTAGCATCTTGTCCAACTAACAAACACACTTAATGGTCAACCAATCAGGGTTGAATTGAATATAAATAACATCTATAGAAAAAAGCAAAAGAATCATGTTGATCAAGTTAAAAATAAACTGCTCTCGTACTAAATTAACAAGATAAATTATGTTTATGCTAATGAGAAATAGTTTCACTTTTATGTCAATGCAAACGAAACGCTTTTTTTTCTACCCAAGTTATCAATATCATCACAGCTGATACAAATTTCTCGACTCAAAATGGCATACGACTATTTTGCATAATTCTAAACACTAAACTATAGAACAATGTCTCTAAGACGAACGAAAATATTTTCTTGTTTTTTCTAGCTTGTTTAATGGAAACAACTTTCTTTTACTTACTACAAAATTGTAGCAAAACGTAGCCTTTAACGCATCATAAATTACCATTTTAAGACTGCTAATATTGACTCTAATCAGGGGCGGATTTAGGGGGGGCGGATGCCCCCCCCCCCCCCTCAGGGATTCGACCCCCTGCCGACCCAAAGGGTCCGCCTTTGGTCCTTTTTACAAAATCAATTTTTGGCCGACCGACCCTAAAATTTTTCTAAAGGCGCCAATATATACTAATTTTGAGGGGGAAGCGCGCGCAGAAAAAATCGCGATTTTTTGGTCAACATTTTCCAAAAAGTGCCTAAAAACGCCTTTTTTTGGACTGTTTTTTCAAAAGCAATTATGGGCGCAGTAATGAGAAATCTTAATTGAATACCGTCCTCAATTATGAGGCCTGTCTTATGCCATGTAGTCGTATTCCGATAAGTCAGAGGGACTCGACTTCAAAACTGTCCCATGCTTCGTTTTAAAAAGCAGAAAATCATGTCGATTTTGATACTCTAGTCTTTGATTAGTCATTTAAATAAAATCGCTTACCTGAACAAAGCATTCTTTACTCAAACTTCATCATTATGCCAAAATTTACAAAAACTAATCAAGCTTACAGGCCCGCCTGCTCTTTAATGGCTTTGTTTAGATAAGAAACTTAAAATAAGGAAGTAATCCCTTATTCGCAAAAGACCGAATGTGCAAAATTTTTGTCAGCCAATTAGAATTCATTAGTGACATATCCGAAGGAAATAAGCGATCAAATCATTCAGTTTTGGGACAGTTTAAAGGGCATTGATTGGTTAGGAAGTTTCGCGCAATCGGTCCTTCGCACATGATAAATAGCCCCAAAAACAAGCATTTAAGATATTCAGCCGCTAAAGGAGACTAATACTTTGCTGTTTGACAGGCGTCGCAAATTCTTCGCGAGAAAACACCAAAGCTCTAAATGCTTCGACAAAAATCAACAAATTGTAAAAAGTACAAAACAAGTTTCAGGGGCAGTGTTTTTGTTTTTACCCAGACTATTTGGTCTCCTTGAGGTCTTCGTTTTCAATTCTAGTGAAACTATTTTTCCTGGATTGAGAACGACCTTCGATGACTAAGCGGACTGGAAGTTGATAGTTCCGAGATCATCTAGCTTCACTAGTGGCTGGAACGACATTAGGAATTGCTGCAGCTTTGTGAGAACCCGGCGTCGGTCCTTTACTGGTGTTGCTGAAATTATTGCCTTTGTTTGTATTGTTATAACCACCGTTTCCGCTTCCAACTAGGTTTTGGTTCTGGTTATAAGCTTGGTAATTTCGACCTTGGCCTCTGCCCGCGTTTTCATTTGACCTGCTATAGTTGCCCCCGCCACCTCCCCCCTTTTTAGGAGAAGCATCTTTACTCCCGCGTTGCAATATCTGTCTCGGCGGTGCCTGATGATTCTGCCTATTAGTTTGATCCTGAGCTCTTCCAGAGGTGTTTCTAGACAACTGATTCTGAACTTGCTTTGAGATATGTGATTGAGTATATGACTGATTTTGGTGCTGGTTCTTGCTCTGGTAATTCATAGCTGGAAACTCGTTGTTAGAACAAGTAGAGCTTGAGCTTCTCGGTTCTTTTTCCACAAGATTCTGATTACACTCCGAGACGTTCAATTGATTCTTGTTCACGTCTCGATTTTCAGATTCATCGTCTAAATTGTTCGCTTGTGAGCTTTGAGGTTTTCCGTCGTGGTCTGTTTTTATCCTAAACTCTTCTAAACACAGTTTACTTTTGATATGCTTAGTTATACAGCTTTAAAGCCCTGTTTGCATGAAAAAACATAGCCAACAAACAGTTGGAAGAGTCAATGATCGCAAGTAGACAGAAAAAAAAACTTATTTTTATTTACACAGAGGCGAAGTTGCACTTCGCATACACAAGCAAAAATATGACCAATAACGCTTTATGGAAAAACTGAATGAGTAAAACTTTGAGTCTACAAAATTTCTTAAGTGACGCACGCCAATTATGACGCATTATCAGCACCAGTCAATTTGAAAAAAAAAACAATTACCAACTAACATGCCTCAATTTATAGAGCAATCTATGGAGCAGTAATACAATGAAAAATTAAATGTAATAAGAATAAAATGATTTTTTTTTTCAATTTGAGATTTTTTGTGAACAAACTCCTAGTAACAAATCAATTATGGAAAAGAAGCTTCCTTCAACCAATTTGGAACGATTTCTAAGACGGATTAAATCTCCGCTTACGCGTTAATAGAGATACATATATCGCGCGTTAATTGCCCCAAATTGGCAATTTTTAAACCCCCATTCCTTTACGAAAAATAATCAAAGGTGAAATATCTTTCCAAATTTAAGCTCAGGACAACAATACCTTTTGAATGATATAAAAAATCCCGTCAAAAATGGATAGTTAAAAAGTTGAAATTTGTCTGAAGAAGAAAAAAAAACCACCCCGAGCACAAATATTCCGTTACTTGTGTTACGAGTCGGAACAATAATAGTCTGTGTTAATATCCTTAGCAATGGCTGTACTTTATAGCAGGTTATTGATCAAAATGAACACATTTTATCGCAACAACATTTGCGTCACAACAATATTTGCGACGCAGGTTGAAAAAAAAGATAGTTCATACAATAACACAAGCTTTGCGCTTGTGTAAAAATTTTAAATTTTTCTAACAACAAGTTATTGTTGAATTGTTTGAAAAAACTTTCGAATGTTAAAGAAAAATTATACGCCGTTAAAGCTCTTTCAACTTCAGGAGCAATTTATGATTGGTGCTTTTTAATCCAATATTAAAACTAACCCAATTTGAGAAACTGGATCAAAAGGTAAATTTTTAATTTCGCTGGTAAATCTGTACGTTAAAATCCATTTCGAAACTAGAAGACCATCACGCGTTTTGTGACTTTTTTTGATGTTCGATTAGGGAGTTTGCCTTCCTTTTAACAATATAAATGTACTGAACTAACATCAACAATCAAACTGCGAAAAATCAAAATTGAGAGTTATCAAATTTTACGGTTTTCCTGAAAAAAAAATCACCAAGACCTATATAAGAGTCTTCTCTACGTCCATTACTCTTAAACATTCAAAAGAAAAAAATCAACAGGTATCTCGCTTCGATCATCGGAAAACTGCTGATGAAATGAGATTTATTTTCTCGAAGTTTATAAAAAATATGTAATCACAGTCCAAGAACTTTTACAATCGACATGAGCAAACATGAACCAAAGATAGTGTTTTTAATCTCGCTTACAGTTCTCAAGTTCTCGGAGAGCACAATTTGAGTTCCGTTCGGAGAACGAAATTGAAATGCGAGCTTGAAAATGAAATTGAAATGCGAGCGTGAACAAATTTAAACTTAATAATAATAATAATAAAAAAAAAAAGACAAAATTTGAAAATTTGCATACGATTACACAAAAAAATAGACGCTTTTGCCAAACTTAACGAAAAGTTACTCGTTGTAAAAATTGCACCGTGAAGGAGGGACGGTAAAACAGCCCAATATATACTGTAAATAACTCTTCGACACGTGAATTTTCTCACCTGCGTGCAAAATATTTCCCATGGACGGTTCATCACAGTCATAGAATAAGTGACCAGATTTTCCACAATTAGAGCAGAACGCTTCCTTGGCTCCGTTCGGGGAAGCCAGCACATTGCTCTGGACCACTCCCATATTCACCTCCTTCGTTGGAACAGGCGGTATAAAATTGGCGTGATTCAATTGCTTATGGTACGTTGGCGCCATTATAATCTGCCCGGGGTTTCTTGTCTGAAACGCTTGCATTTGATGTTGTCCATGTGCATGCAAAAACTGCAACATTTGCGGGTGTGTCATGTTTAAAATACCTCCAGTTGAAGCTACAGCACCATATTTGAAAGGCATCCAGGCATTTACGTTATGCTGGGAAACTACAATTCCGTGTTGCGAATCAATCGAAGCCATTTTATTCAACATAATCGGCGGGTTATTTTGCCTATTCACTAACATCACGTTTTGTTCATTTGAACTATGTTGATCTACAATCCAGGCATTAGGTGCTTGCTGACTCTGTTGCACTGCGTTTGGCTTCGAGCCGTTTAAATCTTCATTAGGCAATTTCTTTTGAGCTATATTTGCATTCGGATTCGGGGTTTGATTGGCACAATTTATCGTTGGATTACCCCAAGCCGATGGCGGACTAGCATTAGTCGGACTTGTCTTTGTCGATGCGACGCCTTTTACGATGTCTGATGCCAATGGCTGTCTGATAACAGTAGTCGTCGGTGGTACTACGATTGACCGTGAATCTGATAGATTGTTCACTGGCGCAACATTTTCTACGTTACTTGAAACCGGAGTCGTCACTGTACTCGACAGGGGGACAGAAGAGTTCATTTGCTGGTAAGGGTGGGGGTTGTTCGGAAAATTTGAGCCCGGTGGGGGTGTTTGATAGAAATATTGCTGCACTGGAAGATGAATGATTCCATTGGTAATCCCGCCAGCTATTTGCGGCGAGAGCATTATGAAATCTTTTGGGCCCTCGACATTAGGTCCTGTTGCTATACTTAACCTCATTGTATTTCCAGGAATGCTGGGGCCTGAAACATGAAATACGTACTTCAAACAAGTTGAGACAAAACAAACCTTTAAGCTTTACATTTGCTTTTAATCTTCATAAAATAGCTCAGGTTAAGTCGCTACTTCAGCTTAAGAGCACCAACATTCATACTTTAACAACAAACAAAACTTGTCCATATTTCTCGCTGATCTTTTCCAATATTGCTTTGTTTTGAACTTCAGAACTAACCGTGAAACTTTGTTTCCAAGTACTTACCCGCTGATCATTTGAACTCTATGAAATTAAACTTGCGATAGCAACTTTGCCCTTTCATTGCGGAGGCTTCGCAAGTATTTGCCTAAGCAATACTTTAACTAAAATCTAACTTCAAATCGACCCAGCGGTTAAGTTAAGTTTGGCGTAAACAACGAAAAATTGTCTAGAAAGTCGGGATCAATAAATTTGGCAGAATACGAAAAGCAGCGTGAACAATTCTTTGCGTAAATATAATAACAATTCTTTGAACCATTGCCCAATTTTACTGCCGATTAGATTAAATATATATTTTTAAAACAACCACAAAGAGTAAACAAGTACAACCGGTTACTGTGCAACTAGTATAGAATGTTCCGACCCGACCTTAATCTTAAAAAAAAAAACTTAAGTTTTCCTCAAATTATGTCGCTTTTTCTGGGTGCTGTGATAAAACATATTCGATATCCATGGTAAAACAAGCCAATTGAAACAGTTTGTGAAGAAAAATGTCCAGAAAATTTTTTTTAAAAAATCGTTTATGATTCACAAAATGGCGCTACAAAGACCAAAAACGGTGGCCAGTCAATAAGCAGAATAAGAGCAGAAAGGGTCCAAGAGCAGAAAAACTGAAAAATGTCATTTTTTATAAACTAATCGGTTACTTAATTATCAGAAATGTCAATAATAACAAAGCAACGAACATTTTATGCATAACTTGAATAATTTAATCATTTTCTTGGTATTTTTGACCATTCTAATAATTTGCTTTATCAATTAGCCCGTATAAACCAACGTAAGTCAATTTTGTTCTGTTTTTCTGCTCTTGGACCATTCTGCTTATTGCTCCGCCTCCACCAAAAACTTACTTAACTTGAGCAAAACTAAGTTTACAAGGCTTGATTTAAGCATAAATAGGCTATTGTAAGCCTAAAAGCTCACTTATTAGCTCGAAATTAGACCACAAATCAAAAATTTCAAACCGGTTTTTCTTGAACACAGAAAAACTTGAAATTTTTGTTCGAATGACGACTGAAAGTTCCATTCCAATGATTAGGTGTGGTAGCTGATTTTGCGCCTAAACTAAAAGAAAAAAAAACTAAAATTACCGAATACAAAGTTCCTCCCCATTTTCAATGGTCGGAACAACGAGTACAGCCGATTGCTGTGCAATTAGCCCAAAATGTTCCGACCAATTGATTTAACGTAAGAAATTTTTTAAAAAAATGTCATGCGTTCAGAAGATTCGGGATGCGTCCTAAGATATGTAGAAATGATCGTTGTTTCGACCAAACTGATTTAACAAAAGAAATTCAAAAAAAAAATTGGGATGCGTTCAGAAAATTTGGGATGCATTCGAAGATAAGTAGAGATAATCTTTATGAGCTAAAAATGACAAGCTAAATATTTTTGCAGGATTCATGAAAAGAAACTCGACTTCAGTTTTTGTTCTTATATTTGTGTGGCAAGAAGTGCGACTTATAGTAAAATATTCAGATTTCAATTCAAATAATTATGAAATTGAACAATTTGATGTAAGAAAAAATTCAAAAACGAAAACTTCGGGATGCATTCAGTGAACCGATGTATCAGTAATTTACCAGACCAGTGACTCGAATTACGTAAAATTACTTCAATTCCTTTTCGAGGATATGTAGAAATAATCTTTCTGACCTGAACATGACAAACTAAATAATTTTGGAAGGTTCATGAAAATAAACTTTATATCAGTTTTTGTTCTTATTTAGGTTTTGCGTAAGAAATGCGACTTATTGTACAAATCTTTGAACTTCGAATCATGTGATTATGTAAACATGGCCAATCGAAGAATGGATAAGAGTAATGAACGTAAGTTAACATAAGAAAAAACACTGACTATCTTGAAAAAATCTCAACTTTCGAATTTCAAAAAAAAAAATAGATGCCACTTGATACCTTTGAATTTCTAGAACAATTTATACTTGGCGCTTTTTTGATTACATGAACCCAACTGGAAAAAACTTGATCAATAGGTACAGTTTTTATTCCGCTGGAAACCTAAAAATTAAAATCCACTTTCGAAACAAGGAAATCGTTCACGTTTTTCCGCGCCATCTCCATTCGTATTTGGAGAGTAATATTTACGTCACTTTCAGCAGATGAATTTCAATTGAACTAAAAAAGTGCATTTATATCAAGTGCATTCAAAAATGCTTCAATATGTATGAATGCACATCTGTAGTTTTTAGAGACTTTTAAGACTTTTCCTGGAAAAAAATCAGCAAGACCTATATAAGAGTCTTCACTACGTTCATTACTCTTATGAAATTTGATTAAAGAAAGAAAAATCAAAAAAAAATTCGGGATGCGCTAGGTAAACCGATGAATCAGTAAAATTCCAGACGAGTGGATCGAATTAGGTAATAATTAATTCAATTGCTTTTCAAAGATATGTAGAAATGATATTTCTGCGCTAAAATTGAAAAAATAAACATTTTTTGCAAGATTCATGAAAATAAATTTAATTCAGTTTTGGTTCTTAGTTTTGTTTTGCGGAATAAATGCAACTTATTGTACAATTCATCAGACTGCAATTCATGCGATTATGTAATTGAACGATGCAATAATTTTGAAATTTTGGAGAAATTTCGATTTATTAGGTTAATTTCGGAACTCACGATACTGTCCGCCCATTTTCAGTTTGCTGATAAACCATTATCAGTTCACTGAACCACCACCAAATTTTCAAACACTTGCGAGAACACGACCAAAAAGCAGCTCTATCAAGTGAAATAAAAAAAAAGTAGAAGTGAGCCTCGATTTAGCAAAAACTCGGCTATGTGTAGGATTCGAACCTGCGTGTATTTTAGAGTCTCACCCACTAACAAGTCAACCACAGATGCTTAAATGCACCAAAAACTAGCAAATAAAAACGAAGCTACATGTGCTAATAAATTGCCAATTTGATGCCGAAAAGGGGCACCAAATACAAAAAGACACACAAACATGTACTAAACTGGAAAATATCAAGCCAAATTATTTATAAATTATGCATTTCAAAGAAATTTTTAGATACATTGAGTTGAAAAAATTCTGAAATTAAAATTTTTTATCATGGTATTGCTACTTCAAACAAATAAGTTTTTTCTGTTCATTTGATGAAATAAAAATACTTCAACTGTGTAAACTTTTTACTAATCAAATGTTAAAGCACATATGATATTATACTGCTACGACAGCCTACTGTTCAAAAAGCCGCCAAAAGTAGCACTTTAAATTTCGACTTAAGTTGGAAAAAATAGGTGCGAAAAGAAGTTTAAAAAAGAAAAATATTATTTAAAAATTTCATTTTTTTTTTCAGTTTTTGTTGCTTGAAGTTTTTTTTTCTAATAATTTTTTCTTGTGCAAAGGCGACTGAATTAAGTGAAACATGCATCAAAAAGGGAAACTTTCAAGACAGCCAACAGAGAGCTGGGAAAGAGTCAATGAACGCAAAAAAAAAGAAACATAGCCAATCGAAGAGTAATGAACAGAACAAACACTGACTTTGTTGAAAAAATTTCAACTTTCGAACTTCGAAGAAAAAAATAGATACTTTCTGGGCTCTTTGAAAGATTTATGATTGGCGCTTTTTTTGATAACATTAACCCAAATTGAGAAAACTGAATCAACAGGTAAAGTTTTTATTCCACTGGAAATCTAAAAATTGAATTCCACTTTCGAAACTAGAAATGTTTCACATTTTTTTTGCTCCTTTTCCACGTTCGTATTTGGAGAGTTTGATTAACGCCACTTTCAGCAGATGAATTTCAAAAAACTCAAAAGTGCATATATACATGTGCATTCATAGATGCATCAATATGTATGAATGTTGTTAATAGAGACTTTATGCACATTTTAAGACTTTTTCCTAAAAAAATCTGCAAGACCTATATAAGAGTCTTATCTACGTTCATTACTCTTAAAAAATACTGACTTTCAAAAAATATACATGAATTTTAAGAGCAAAGAGTTTTCTCTTTAAATTTCAAGAACAATTTATGATTGAACACTTTTTTCATAAAATTGAGTCACTTTGAGAAAACTTGATCAATAAGTAACTTTTCTATTCCGCTGGAAAACCTGAAAATTCAAATCAACTTTTCAGATTTGAAATTGATCACATTTTTCGTGACCTTTACACTTTTACCATTCGGTTGTGGAGTTAGCCTTTCTTTTACCAAAGGAAATAAACTGAAGTTACAGAGAAATCAAAAATCTAACCGTAAAAAATCAAAGTTGAGCGTGAACAAAATTGAAGACTTTTCCTGAATAACAAATCATCACGCTCCACATTTGAATTTTTTTTACCAAACAATTGTTTAACGTGTAGTTATGGTTAAAAGCGTGATGTTACGATGTAATGTATGAAGAAAAAATCCGTTCACAATTGTTAATTTGCTTACCATGCCGAGTTTAACTGCATTATGACAATGCTAAAGTAGTTTTTCAAATTGAAGTTCAAAGGTGGGGGAGTGCAAAAGCAAAAACTATTTAGAGATCATTGTTCAATTTCCTTTCAATGATGGAATACCTTTCGTAGAATTGCACATATTTGTTATCTCACGAACAATTCCAAACTTTACCCCAAACTTATATCTAATTGCTCGAGTTCGCTTCCAGTTAAAAGTTCACAAACATTAATCATGCAAATTGATCGATACAATCTAACTAGAAGCATGTATGAAACCTTTTGTAAAGGTTAAACAGACAGTACCCGAGATATCAAACGGCTTCTATTGTAGTTGCCATAGAAATATCTAACTTAACAACCTCAGTGGACTCCAAAGCCCTTTATGGATCTTGGGTATTTCGCACTTACACTCGAAACTTATTCCAACAAATGATCAATTCAAAATGGCATAGTTTTTTACCAACCTGCAGCAGATGGTACACTGGGCGGTTGGGATTGTGTCAGGTTGTTGGCTCCTCCTCCTTCTCCGTTGTTCCTGCTGCTATTCTGAGGTGTTATGACGTTGACTAGGGTGGCTCCGGCGGCGGAGGTGTTGCACATCTGTTGCACTTCATTAGTGTCCACTGATGCTATTCTACTAAATTCCTCTCCAACAGGTACACGACACCTGCAAAATCAAAACGGCTACAATTGAACTCAATCCACCTAGCCAACAGACAGTTGGAAAAGAGTCAATGAACGCAAGGAAACTTTCGCATTTCGAACTAAACATTTAAAGCCATAAAAGCTCTTTGAATTTCAAAAACAAATTATGACTGGCACTTTTCTTGATAAATTAAGTCAAATTGAGAAAACTGAATCAATGTGTAAATTTTTCATTCCGCTATGAAATCTGAAAAATAAGAATCCACTTTCGAAACTAGAAATCGATCACGTTTTTTGCCCCATTTCAACTTTCATAAGTGAGAGTGCATTTTATTTACCTTCTAGCAAATTAATTTGAATTGAGCTCAAAAGTGCAAATATACTTAAGGGCATTCACATGTGCATTTATAAATATAAATGAAATCCTTCTTTTATTGGAGCATTTTAAGACCTTTCCCAAAAGAAACGAAAAAAAAATCATCACTACATGAGAGTCTGAACTACGCTCATCGACTCTAAAACATAAACTGACAAAATACCATTTAATTAAATTATTACAGCTATTCTAGGTTGAAGTTAACAATGAATAAAATTTTCAACACAGAGGCGAAGCTGCACCTTGCATAAACAAGCGATAAAACGGCCAAAAAAGCAGCTCCATGAGGACAAAATAAGCTTCAAAAATAAAAATAAAAGTTGCCATCTGATTGATTCGAGCCGCAGGCGTGGAGATTAGGTCTCTCCGTAGAGATTAGAAAATTTTAGAATAATTTATGACTAACAATTTTTTTATTAACCCTATTTGTGGAAACCCAATTTGATCGATTGGTAAAATTTCGCTGGAAGATCAGATAATTAAAATTTATTTTCGAAAATACAAGACAATCACGTTTTTCGTGGCCCTTACACTTTTGTATTTGATAGTGGAGTTTGCCTTCCTTTTAACAAGGGAAATGAGTTGAACTTAAGAAATCAAAAGTCAAACCGCGAAAAAGAAAATTTGAGTTCATCGACTCTTAAAAAGCAAAAAAAAGTTGAAAGTGTAATTCGAAGAATCGAAAAAATAGCGACCGTTTTGGAGCACCCCAAAAGCAAAAACTGTTTGCACTGAGTTTATCGAGCTAAAGCACTGTGCGATCAAAACGAAGAACTAGAAAATTTTTACAGAGGCAAAGCTGTGCTTTGCAAACACAAGCGAGAAAAGGACAAAAAGCAGTTCCTGAAAGTTAAATAAGAAAAGGCAGAAATAAGCCTCGATTGAATAAGTAAAACTTGCTCTCTGCTGGATTCAAACCCAAGACCTCGAGATTTGAATTCTCACAACGAGATTTGAATTCCCTCGCAGTCACGGGTGCTTGACTAAAGACAAAATCTAGCCACCAATAAAGCAGATAACAGATGCTATGAAATTTCCTATGCTACAGCAAATCTTGATTAGAGCGAAAAAGCCACCAAACGAGCATTTTATTAGCAAGTTAGGTTGGAAAAAAAGGTTGGTCATACTAATACCTTACGCTCACAAGCTCGCTGGGTCAAAATTTAGACTTACATTTGATTAGGCTCATGTCGCTGTTGTACATTCGGCTCATACTGGTTCTGATTCGGTCCCGTTTGAATATTGAAAGCCATTCCATGTCTCAACATCTCCGAGGAGTCCAGAAGTTCTTTCGACATTTCATTTGAAGTTTTCTGTTCCTCAACAAAGGGTATTGTGACAGGGGTTAAATTTGAAATTCGTTGTGGCTGGAGTTGTGAACTGCTAGGTGGTGATTGTTTCAGCACTGCTGAGAACGAAGTGATCTAAAACACAGACGATTAAAAAGGCCCTTGAGGAAAAAAATGGCGATTCAGACGAGTTTTTTTTTCAATGAATTAAAGGCTAACCGGTTTTTTTTCCGAACTCGAACTGAAATGTGTGCCTTTCGTGTTGCTATTGCTCGGTTTCAAACTGTCTGGATTCGTTGGTTCTAAGGAGGGTTCGATATGCTTATTGGAAACTGGTTGCTCGTCAGAAGCATTAACGGAGAGTAATGTCTTATCAGGCAACTCTTCGGTTCTTAACACGCAGGGGGTTTCAAGATTGCAATTTTGAAGATGTCTGTTTTTTGACGAGGGTCTACTTCTCGGAGATTTTTGCCTGTTTTCTTTCAGATAGTGGCTGTTTTTAGTCGGACTAGTCCTGAGTACGGCTGGAGCTTCTTTGGACAGAAGAAGTTGATCTTGAATGTTGCTTCTTCGATTCCCACTGTCCACGGTTCTACTTTTTATCATCTGATCTCGCTCCCGGTTAGTAGAAGTGGTCGACTGTGTCGTATCTACATTGAAAAAATAAAAACATAGCCAACTGACAGTTGGACACAGAGGCGAAGCCGTGCTTTTCAAATTAGTAAGAATTCGGCTACGTCTCAGATTCGATATGCGACCTAGAAAATATGATTCTCACGCACAAACTATTCAGACACGGAACCTTTATAAAAAAACAAACACTAGCCACAAATAAAGCAGAGAACAGATGCTATGAACTTTCCAATGCTACAGGTCATGATTACAGCAAAAAGGCCACCAAATAAGTGCACATTTTCAATGGACACTTTTTTGCGAGCTAAGTTAGAAAAAAGAAGGTACGTACTAATATACTACGCTCGCAAGCTCGTTATTGTAAAAAGATTAATAAACGCAAAGTAACAAAACTTTTTTTACTCAACTTTCGAAATTTAAAAAATTATATGACCTAAGAGCCCTGTGAATTTCAAGAACAATTGATGATTGGAGCTTTTCTGATTAAATTAAACCAATTTGGAAAACTGGATCAAAAAGTAAATTTTTTAATTCTGCAGGAAAATCTGATAATTAAATTCCATTTTCGAAATTAGAAATCAATCACGTCTTTTGAGACATTTATATTTTTGATGTTCGATAGTGGAGTCTGCCTTCCTTTTAACAAAGGAAATGAACTGAACTTAACCACGAAAAATCAAAACTTAGCGTGAACAAATTTAGACTTTTTCTGAAAAATTTGACTTTTTCCTGAGAAAAAACGGAAAAATTGCCAAGACCTATATAAAACAAAAAACTATTCGAAATAATAAAAAAAAGTAGATGAAACAGAAGGCTAATGCGCTTAATTTAAACCAAGAAAAATTGTGTACTAATGCATTCGAACTTAAATTCAAACGAATGGCTATATATTTAAGCAAGTGAAAAAATCATACCTGATGTTTTCAAACAAAAAATCTTGCAGATTCATTTCATACATTCTTGATACATTCTAGTAGAAACTAACTGATATGACACTAGCATTTTTTTCGTGCATTACCTGTTTCGCCGTCGACGGTGCTTCTTGATTTCATCCTAGGCTTAAAAAATCTGAACAGTGTCTCAGATTGATGAATAGCCTGGGTCACTGAGGAGCTGAAAAGGCATCTGAAAACAAGCAAAAAGATAAATGAAAAATCAAAAATCGAGTTGTACACTTTTTAAAATCACCTGCACTTACTTGAGATAATTATCAACCGTTTCTGAAGTAGCAAAGCCGTTGTTTCTTAACTTTTGTAGACTCTCTTGGGCCGCCGAATTTTGCTCGACCATTTGCATAACCTACACAAAAATTATCTTACAGAATGTTGAGAACGAAAGCTAAGAGTCGAATTTTTTTAAATGCATTAACAACCTCGTGACTGTTTCCATCGAAAATGTTGGGAAGCTCTGCTTAGCCTCTGTGCACAACATAAGGTTAGATAAGATAACAGGTACAACAGGAAAATATCTGATCTTCAAAATCCAAAAAAAAAAGCGATTTTCACTTATTTTTTGCTGAACTTCGAAAGATTATCTAAGATTAGAGATGTTTTTTTTCAACACTTTGACAAGGCTTCTGATTTATCTTTTCAGGATCCGAGTCACGACTGAAAGATTCTTATTTTGAGAGCGTAATTATCAATTGGATTTGCACTTAAAAAGAAGCAAGGCTGCTCGTATCAGGGCGATAAAAAGTTTTTTGGTAAAAAAATTCTTGGTTAAAAAAATATATATATCTTTCAGACTATAAAAAATTTCCGTCAACAAATTCGTCTGCGTAAAAAACCAACCCGAGCAAAAACATTCCGTCACTTTCTACGAAAGCTCGGGAGCAACAAAAGCCAAACCGCCAAAAGTCAAATCATTACGCTTTTTGATTTATTCATTTCTTTGAACAATTCGTAGATGAGCAACTTATTAACGTTTGCTACTTTGCGTGAAATCATGTCAACTTATAAGAATATCACAACTTTTCCAAAAACTTTCATTCATATGCGTTTTTGACGCGTAAGTATGAGATTTAATTCTGATTTCGGCGAAACTATTAAAACCCCAAAAACTTGGCAAAAACCGATCACCGGTAAAGTACTTTTTTTAATTTCGTTGTCAGGGTATCCATATCTTTCGAATGGCGCAAAAAAACTACCATTGCCTGTTTAATGTCTTCGTTTTTTTTCAATATTGAAAATTTTTTTGGACTTAGTATTTTCATGTTTGTGTAGTCAAAAAAAAAAATTTCCAATGTTGAAAAAAAAACAACGTGAACGAAAATTTTCGCATGTCTCAATAAAAAACAAGGGGCCCAGCTAAAGCTAAAGGTACGTGTTTAATATTGAATTAATGTGCTATACTGATGCGGCACGAAAAAAAAAGATTTCAAAAATTGGTTTTCTCTCTCTTAATTTAGTAGAAACAAGGTTTTGCGCAAGGTTCAATTTTTGAAATCATTATTTTTGTTGTTCCTGCAGAAGTGGGGACTCCTTAATTTATTGTAAAAGAAATGCTATCTCCTCGGGAAAATTGATTATCTCAATTTTATTACTCTTCTCACTTATTTTAGTAGAGAAACAACTAAGGTTTTCGCAGAGTATGAAAAAAATTCAGACAATCAATTTTCCCATGTGGATAAGATTTATCTTACAAACAGATTAGGGGTCGCCACTTCTGCAGGAACCATTATCGCAACCGGTTCTCTCAATTTCTCAGATTTGATTTGGTTAATCCTATGAAAAATCAGAAGTTTCTAAAAACGGTCAAAAGTTCTAAAAAAAGGTCAAAAGGATTTCCAAAAACACAACTTTTTTCTACAAAAAGCATGTTAAGACCATTTAGTCAGGTATGATTTCCAAAACCAAATTGCTCGATTGAACACAGCCTGAGTATTGGCACGGTTGTTTTCGCGTAGAGTCAAAAAATTCAAAACTTTGACTTGTTTGAAGGCCAATAAGTTTTTTCTTAAGCAAACTGGGCATAGCCAATTATAAACGCAGGCTTTCAACAACCTGCTGATTCGATGATATCAGATTTAAAAAACAGATGGATATCAAATTATGTAATATCAGATTTGTCGAGAACGGTCAACAAATCAAAAATTCACGTTTCCAAGAATCATAGTTTTTGTGAGAAAAAATCGGGAGTAGCCACTTATGCAGAAGAAATTCACTGAAGCCGTTGTTTTGATTGAACCCAAAATCTGAGATTTTGGAGTGTAGTTCTCAAGAATATTCAAGAAGTTTACGAAAGGGTCAAAAAATTGATTTTTTTTTCTAAAAATTTGACTTTTTCGAGGGCGATAACTTTTTGTGTAAAGAACTTTGTGAGTGGCCGCTAACGCAGGGAAGCTTCCCATTTCCCGTTAACTCCATTGAACCCATAATATGTGAGTTGAAGGATAAGTTTTCGAGAAAAATGAAAAAGAACTACAAAACGGCCAAAAATCAATAACTTGACTATTCCCAGGGCCACAACTTTACGCGAAGAAAATTTGGGTGTAGCCGCTTATGCAGAAACCTTTTGTAAATCGTTCTATTCATATCAACCAAAAACTCAGATTTGAAAGGGCTAGTTTTCGAGAAAACAAAAAAAATCCAAAAAATGGGTCAAATATTCCCCATAGACTTTTTCGAAGGCTGTAGACAGAAGAGTCGAGTAAAAAGAGACTCTAGGGGAGTATTTAGGCACACAGCGGAGTAAGCGGTCTTTCAATTGATACCCCTTTTTTGAAATTCAGCAGAAGTTTCTGAGAAAAGCATAAGCCTACGATTAAAAGCATACGATTAAAACAGCATGACGGTGATGAAGTAGCAAAGAAGACTTCGACCGAAGAAAAAATTAAAGAAAACTAGAAAACAAAAAACTTTAGTAAATAAAAAAATTGTTTTTCATGGTTAAATTTTTTTTTAAAAAAAGACTACAGTCTTAAGTACATTTTGAGCATTCAAAAATAAGGAGCCAGAGTCTCATCAATCCTTAAAAACAAACCGAATTATCGTACAAAAGCCGACAAGGAAATTTTTTTTTAAATGCCAGCTAATGAGCAGAAAATCAACCGACACTTACAGCTTATTATTGTCCACGAGTGCTTTATATGATTTTGAAGCAAGACCTAAATCGGAAATTGAACTAACTTGTATCAATTTGTCTGGACAAAAAAAAAATCATTTTCAAATAACATGCCAACTAAGACAATTGAACATTAAATTGCATCGGAACAAAAATTACGAAACGGTAACAACCCAACAATGCTAATTGCGATAAAAAAAATCAAATACACATTATAATTGCGTGCTCATGAATCGACAAACAAAACAAAAATTGTTGAAGTTTTTTTTTAAATTATTTGTGAAAATTGTACAAAAACTTCGAAAAAACATTTTTTCCCAATTCCTTATCCTAACGGCCAGTCAGAAAAGTAGAAGAAAGATGGATGTTTAAACAAGGTCCGTGCAACGGGAACTAAGCTGAAACTAAGAGGCGGACGATGGTGGAAGACAGAATAAAGCGGACGAAAAGAAGCGGGCAAAAAAAACAAAGAGGCGGACAACGGATAAGTTTTTGACTTTTTGCTTGGGATAGCATTATCAGATATGGTTCAACTAACAAAGTATGATTATTACAGCTGGCTTGAAAGGAGAAACGGTTAAGAGCAAATTAAACAAGCAAAAAAAACGTTTTGAAGTCAGTGGCTTAGCTAAATAAGAAAACTCAAGATATTGATTCTGTCAACTCACAAAAGACAACTTTTAACCTGTTTTAGCCGATCGTACCACTAAAAACAACAAATCTTTGAACCAATTTTGTCAGTTAGACTGAGAAAAAAAATTACAAACAAAATTAGAAAATTTTTTTGTTTAACGCTTTCCTTTTTATTTAAAAAGTCTAGGTTGATTCAAGTTTTCCACAATTTCATCTAAAGAATTTGATCACTTCCATACAATAGCAAAAAATATATTCGAAAAAATGCATCAAGAAAATTAGCCGACAGAGTTGAAGCCCACTGAAGTGCCAAAAATGTACCACAAATATTGAAAACCTACAAAAACTCATTTGCAACTCTTGACGTAACACATTTAAATGCCGTATCGTAACTGAATGGAGCTAATATAGTATGCACAAGCAAACATGCACTCACTACCATTAGACTATTCTGCGCCTTAACTTATTTACGGGAAAAAATTCTAGTACCCGATTGCAATACCCTTGCTTATCGCAAGGGTAATCAAACCGATTGGTTTAACATACAACCAACTTAGAAGTGCGGAGGGGAGTGTTAGTATTTTGTTTACCTTGAAACGACCAAAAACAGGGTCATTATGCAGTAATAATCAGGCCAAAAGTTTGGGCCGAAGAATTTTTGTTCCGAGTGTGCAATAGGCTAGGCATGCGACTCGCATAATGAGGGTTGTGACATTTAGAATAAATGTCATGACTTTGAACTTTGATAATCTGAGGGCGTACTGCTGAACTCTCTTGAATATGACATTATACTATATTATTAATAAAACTGTTTGTTGATATTTGATAAAATAGTTTAACACAAAATTATACCGCCAACATTGGAACAGTTGGTTGGTTTTGCAATAAAATATATTAATATTATTATGTTTTGACATCTTAACCACATCGGAACCCAGCACGAGCCTGTTATGCATCCGAAGAACTTATAGTGGCAGTATATATAAATGGTAGACTAAAACACTATCCGATATCGTGTGTTCAAATCCTTCTTCTTCACGGTTGGAGGGGTGCCAGTTTCAATTTCAGTGTCAAATGTCTCTAAGATGAATTTTTTTATCGAAACAAAAAAGGGGAAAATACGTAATCGGGGTGAGAAAAATTACAAATTGTCGGAGTAAATCAAACACTTAAAGCATCATTAAAGGAAAATGCTCGCAATAAAAAACAATTCCAAGATGTTACAACTAAGCTGACAGCAGACATATAATTGAAACAGAATATTTCCCGTTTGAAAAAAAAACAGTTCCTGGCCGAACCCAGGAACCTCGCCGTCCCAGGCATATTGATTACTTCCGGCTAAGTTTGCCGCGAACGCATAAAAGACTGAATTCACCATGAACCAAGATACAAGTGATTCTGTGATACAAGTTGTTTACCCAAAAATAGTCTATATTCCAGTTTGATAACTTTTGCGAATCGCAAGCGTAATTAGAATCGATCTTACTCACGAAGATTTCTTTTTCGCGACCTTTACACTTTCGCTATTCGATCGAGGCGCTCTCCTTCTTTCTATCAAAGGAAATCAACTTCTTAAATCGAACATTCATTTGCAACCGGAAAAACCCAAAAAAGTTTTACTTCCAAGAGAAAATTTTGCCCCCTATAAAAACCCGAAAACCATGAACTATATTTACCAAAAAAAGTATCAACAAATCTACAAAAAAATTTAAAGAATTAATTACCCGGCAAGTAAGCCGACAAAAATTGGGTCGAAATCAATAAAGCCCGCAAAAAAATCAACTTACTTTCAGCTGTAAAACAATTAACACTTTCGTCGTTCAAGCCAGCTTTTGAATGACAACTGTTAGACCAGAATCTTGAGTAGAAATAGAGAATATAGAGATACATTTGGAGATGACCAAATTTCAGTAATCCTGTGGACAAAATTGTTTACGGGAAAAAAGAGTCTAGAACCAGTAGTAGTAGACAAGTACAAAGAAATCAAAATTCAAACATAGCCAATCAAAGATAGGAAAAGAGTAATGAGCGCTAGAAAACGTTCACGAACTAAAAACAGCAAAAAAGTAAATTTGAGACTGAACAAGACTTTTCCTTAAAAAAACGTTAAAAAAACATTACGACCTATATAAGAGTCTGAACTACGTATATCGACTCTTAATAAATATGAACGTTTCACATTTTACGCTTCTCACCTTGTCATGAAGATGGCAAAAGTCTTCAGACGTGTGTTTGGCGTGACTGATGTGATGGTCCGACCATGTCACTTGTAAAGTGAAAGTAGGGTTGAAATTTCCCTTCGCGGGGCTCTGCGTACTGTTTTTAGCACAGGCAGCTCTAACCGGGTAAGTATGTGTAACCGGTTGGTTGTACTGTTCTCGAATGTAGGTAGGTGTGGGTGTAGGTTGCGCACAATGAGCCGCAGCTGCAACTGCTATTTTGTCTGCTCCTTCTTTCTGACGAACTAAGTTCCTAGCTGTTTCGCACAACTTTCTTCGATGATGAAATGAGAAAGCGGGGTGTTTTGAGCCGAGAGTGTACAGTAGAAGTTTCTGTCCCAGCTCTTTGTTGTACAGAGAATCATTTTCAATAGACGAGTCATAGTTCCCTGCCAATCTACAGGCCTCAGATGAGGCTATTTTGTGATAAATCGCAGCCGCACATTTTTCGTTGTTTGATCTGAAGCATTCATTTTTAATCAACACATTTTGAATCTAATTTGGACATTTCGCATTTAACTTTCAAGATTTTTTTAAAAAATCACCTTAATAGACTGAGGAAAATGATTAGATTATATCGGGTTCGCACGTCACTATCAGGCAGTCGCTCTATTTCCTCTTTGCAGTTTGCTTTCTTTTCCTCGTCAATCAAGCTTTTGTATGATTTTTGGCACATGTTTTCCAGGCATGAAGCAATAAACCTAAAATGTCTTAGCTAATATAATCTAAGAATTGGACCTTCAAAAAGCTTTACCATTTCACAAAAAGCTTTACCTGAACTCAAAGCCACAACAGTTCTCGAGAAGCGTTACTACAAAATTGATTCGCACATAGTGATCAGCTTCGCTGAACCAGCGGTAGATCTTTTCAACATCGCAAACATTAACAGGACTGGTCATATGTGAATAGGCATCTTCAACTCCACTTTTGCGCATTATAACTATAAAGTACAGACACCTTCGACACGGTCACTTTCGTTTCGTTGTTTGCCTGATGATGCCGGTAAAAAGCAAAAATATTTGGAATTAAGGCATTAAAATTTTTTGTTTTTTCTACAGTCGCGTTCGACTCAGGAGGAAAACCTACTTCTACAGACTATTTGAAAGCATTCAACACATCCAAATATATACTATATGTCTTTCAAACTCAATAACAATCACTGCTTCAATGAGAAATTCAAATAGATGTTTGGCTGCTACAGAGCGTTTCTATTGTAACTTACTACACATTAAAACGTTTGGTACGAACAAACGTTACAGCTACACTATAAAGTATTTCTGAGAAAAACTATTCCATTTAGAATTCAATTCAAGTGAAACGCATAGATGAAATACCCTGCGAGCTTAGCTATCCTCATTGAACCAGAAAACATTCAGTGATAAATGCTTCTGTGATCGGAAGCTCTACTACCAAAAATAGAACCATTTTGAAAATGTGTAGAACTTATATAGTCAATGCCAAATTATTAGCAATGACCTTGAGCAAATTAATCAGTCAAACACTTAAGAATTTTAGGTTAATAAGTTTTAGGACACGGTTTTTATGCGTGGAAATCAGTAATATATTATACTAGCGTGTAATGCACGTCCGGTGCTTCGAATTTTTAACAACTCATAAAAAACCGTAAATATTCGAAAACAAATCAGCATTCTTTGAGTGTACTCTGACAGCACCTTAAAGCATCTTTCAAAAATTAAGAAACATCACATCTCCGAATCCAAAACTAATTGGGCAGTCGCATTTGGACGCAAGATTTGCAACTCCTGAGAGAGCTCTTACAGTACCAACTACAGCGTTGGGAATTTCAAATTTTGAGAAACTTAAAATTTGAGTTTTCTAAAAAAAAACCTTTTTGAAAAACCATTAAAAAAGTCATATCTCGTAAACAACCAAAAGATTTTAGCAACCACAATTGGAAGCAAGATCTCTCGCAATCCCTGAGAGTACTCTGACAGCCCCCAACTACAGTGGGTTAGGAACTTCAAAATTTGAAGAAAAAAAAAGTAAATTTAATTTTTCTGAATTTTTTTTTGAAAAAATAACAAAAAACGTCTAAATCTGGAAAACTACGAAGGCTTGAGCAGTCACCGTTGGAGGCAAAATTCGCAAGACCTGAGACCTTGAGACCACTCTGACAGCCCCAAAGTAAACGGTTGGGAAATTCAAATTTAGAAGAAATAAAATTAAATTTAAGTTTTCTGAAAACTTTTTGAAAAAAAAAAATTACAAAAAACGTCAGATCTCAAAAACTACAAAGATTTGAGCAGTCATATTTGGAGACAAAATTCACAACTCCTGGGAGTACCCTGACAGAGCCTCACTATAGAGGTGAGAACTTCAAATTTTGTGAAATTATTGATGTCTATTTACTGAGACAATCGTGACATCCCCCAACTACAGGGTTGCGAATTTCAAATTTTCAGAAACTTAAAAATTAAATTTTTCCAGAAATTTCGGAGAAATCTCGAAAAGTGCCGTATCTCGTAGACTAAAAGAGTTGCTTATTGATATATGGAGGCCTAAATCACAACATCCGGGGAAACCCTGACAGCATCTCTATTGGGTTGCTCCTTTCAAACTTGGTGAAGTAAAGAAAGAAAGAAAGAAAGAAAGAAAGAAAGAATAAATTAAGATAGAAACACATCTATCTTACACGTGATAGAACAAAAGCAAACAAAAGTTTATAGAAAGTTTTTGTTTCTTAAGGCTCTGGCTGGAAAAAGCTTGAAATGTTTTTCTAATTTTTCGTGTGCTGCAACTGCTTTTTCTCTAAGTCTGTTTTCTGCATAAGTTTCTCGTTTTGGCAATTTTGAATGAAGAATATGGTCTTGTTTTGAACTTGACTGTAATAGTTTGTTGTCATGGTTCTCTATGAGCTCGAAAATTGGAGTAAATGTAGAAGTAACACCAAGTTTAAGAGCCCTGCGCTGAACTTTGTCCACATCGGCCAATTCGGTCGAATTGGCACATGCCCATACCGGTAATGCGTAAGTAATTTTACTCTGCACCAAAATTTTGTATAAAATATCAAGGGCAGAGATGTTCATACCAAATGTCTTTAGTCTATACAAAAGGTATATACTGCTGGTTACTTTTTTGCATAAACTTTTGATGTGCGATGAAAACGTAAGCCTGCTATCAAATAATACTCCGAGAATTTTAAGCTCTTCCACTTGCTCAATACCATCAAAAGCTTGTGGTACTAAACTAATGTCATTCGGTTTGACAGTCATCAGTTTTGTTTTTCCCTCGTTGAGTATGAAGTTATTTGTGGAGCACCAAGTTTTAATTTCCTCCAAAACTTTCATCGTGTTTTCGACCGAGCCGAACCCCGCTATCACAGAGTTTGCATCGTCCGCAAACTTTATAATTCTAGCACTGTTTGTACTCTCCAAATCCAAATCATAGCTTACTGTATTGAAAAGCGGCGGGCCAAGAACTGTTCCCTGAGGAACACCTTGGTTAATGCATAGCAAGTTCGAACGCTGAGAATTACTTTCCGTGAAAATTTTTCTGTCCTGAAGAAAATTTGCGATCCAATTGATTATGAATGGATTGATTTCCGGTCTAACTGATTGTAGCTTATCAATTATAATTGAATGATGGGCTCTATCAAATGCTTTACTAAAGTCTATTGATAGTATCTGTATATAATCAGCTTTACTTTTCTGAAAAGAAGCAATTTCTTGCTGAAGACAAATCATAGCCGTTGTGGTAGACGCTGAATTTCTGAAACCGTGTTGGTTTTTAGGTAACCAGCTGTTGTACTGTGCTGAGATGAAGTTTTTCATAATAATTCTTTCGAAGAACCGAGAGATTACTGGGGTGATTGAGATGGGTCGATAGTCCTCAGGGCCCATAGGGGCTTTGCATTTGGCGATCGGAACTATTTTTGCAGTTTTCAGGAGTGAGGGGACTTTGGTTTGCAATATTGACAAGTTCAATATCTTTAACACTGGTTCTGCAAGCGAATGAGCGTTCTCCTTCCAGACCCAATACGGAATCTGGTCGGGTCCGGTAGCAGTTTGTTTTAATCGTTTGAGCTGGGAGTATATTTGCTGTAGTGAGACCTCTGGGGAGTCATAACCTGATACGTTACATACATGCGGCTCAATATACTCCGTAGAAGTACAAATGTCCGCAAAGTATTGATTCAGCTCGTCAGGTTCGTGGTTTGCTGTAGAAGTTAAGTTTTTTCGGCCTGTTAAATAGTTCACTTCTTGCCACCAAGATTTGGTTCCACGTTTACTTTTTGTGAGATTCTTCTTTATCTCCATTTTGATAGCATTTTCTACTTCGGTTGAAATTCTGTCTTTTTTCTTCATGCGGTACTTTTTCTTGAGAAGCGATTTCAGCAGAGGAGTCATGTAATTGGGGTCTCTAGCTGAAAGACGCACAGTTTTTATAGGACAGGTAACATCTAGAAGTTCAAGTAACAAGTTATTTAACTGGGTAAAGGCTAAGTCTGGGCAAGAGTAATCAATAAGGGACATATCTACTCGGTCCAAAGTGATACCAAATACTTCTCTGTTAGCAAAACTTGCTTTTCTGAATGATGCGTGGTATCTTTCTGTTTTTTCTTGTAAGGGCTCACAGTAAACCGCTAAGTGATCTGTCGACAAATAGCAGTTTATGACGCTGGTTGGTTTGTAAAGCTCTGGTTTTGAGCAAAGAACTTTGTCCAGAATTTTTTCAAACCGAGTTGGATTTTTGTTAATTTGTACAAGGTCGCTAAAGTCGGTCAAGAGGTCACTGTTGAAGTTATTCAAATCTCCAGCAACGAGAAATGTGCAGGCTGGATTTTTTCTAAGTACTATTTCTCTTTTATCCAAAATATATTCAGCGAGTTGTATGTCACAGTTTGAGTCAGGCGGGTAATAAATACAGCCAACAAAAAAGTTTCGTTCATTCAGTACACAGTTGAGCCATAAAGTTTCCGAAAATGATTGATGCGAAGAGTCTTCAAACAATATACATTCAGTTTGTAATGATTTTAATGCGTAAATACACACACCCCCAGCTCTAGTTTTGGAAGTAGCATTGAAGTTTCTGTCAGATCTGAAAAGATCATAACCTTTTATATTCAGTGAGTCCGATAAAATAGAGTCATTTAGCCAAGTTTCGGTAATTAAACATAAATCAGGTTTCAGTTGATTGAGATCCAATATGAGGCTAGATATTCCATTTTCTTTTTTCAATGATCTTGCATTTATTAATAAAACAGACGGAGCCGGAGGACGTGCTAGTCAGACAGGGACAACAACCCCATCAACAAGTAATTTGAGATTACGGATTTTGATGGAATTTTTGTCCGTTCCAGTATTTATTAGTTCTCGTCTTTTTTTGAGGACTTTTCTTTCTTCAAGACGTTCTTCGCGGGTTAGATCAGGGGAAATGTAAACATTATTTTTCGTTCCAAACTTATCCAGAATTGCTTTGGATACAAGTAATTCGGCATCTGTTCTTGACGTTAATTCCACTATTAGTGTTCTGTCTTTATCCGGGTCGTATTTACCTGCTCGAATAACACCATTTATTCTAAGTTCTTCGAAACCCAATTTCAATGCTATGTTTTTGACTTTTTTGATGTCGCCAGTTTTCCGTTTGTAAACGTTGTCTTCAGAGCTCTCAGGCAAGCCGCTCACTCTGATGGATTTTTTTGTGACTTCAGACATAGATTGTTGAACAACATTGTTTGGGGTCACAACAGTTTCTTTTTCAGTTTTCATTTCCGTGAGTTGATCTTTGACTTCGTTCAGTTGCTTGGATATTTCTTCGAATTTTTTCTGAAACAGTAATGGTGCTTCGTTGTTTCGGTTATGTGATTCTATGATGCATGGTTCACATCTCCACATGAGTCCTTTGACACTACCGAGATAAGTCACAACCGGGGCTGGAACCCCTGAACACAGTTGATGAAACCACTTGAAGCACCCTGAACATTGTAAGGTATTCAAATTGCACTCATCACCACAAGAGCCACATGGATATTTCGGTGTCTTTTTCTTGTTTGGCATAGTCGATAACTTCCAGTTCCAAAATGATATAATCGTTTGTAGTTCTGTTGTCGATGATAAGTTGGAGCGCACCCCGGCGCGCTCAGCAATTCATTGATCTGGAAACACTATTTAATAAGTTTATCACAACAATTAGGCTTATCACTGTTTAAACACTGATTTCAAACAGAAAAATTGAAAAAAACTTAACCATTGCAATATACGATATAGCTTAAACGTGAAAAAACTCTTTCGTTAAGCATGCAAAAAATAATACGTTGAAAAAGCTTAAGCATGGCGATATAGTGAAGCCCGCATTTAAATATATAATAGGTTGTAAATAAATAACCAAGAAAAATGGGTGACTTTTTGAGCATTTTAGCGTGACTAAAATGAGCATTTTAGGTGAATTTATTTCGCTCAGATTCGTTGACCTAAAAGGATAAATATTATTCAAACTTTTGTGAATACATCGCTTTTACTAATTTTGAAAACCGGTTGAATTTCTATTCTCATGACACTTTTCTTCACACAAGTTTTTGTCATCTGATAATGACAATACTAGCGGAGGCTGCTCCAAACGATTTAATTTTCCTAGCCGAAGAAAAAGGAAGACTGTTGCCTCGGTTGGCTATCTTAATACAATATCAGGCACTTAAAAAAACCCTTTAATGGTATCGAGTGTGATATCATATGAAAGCCATCTCGCATCACAGCAGGAGATAACCCATCTCATCTTGATATCGTATTACCCTATGCCGGTCTTAGCGTTGTGGCAGCTAACATTGAAACACCTCTTGTTCAGATGGACCAAGTTTTCATAGAAACAGAGTTACCAATGGAAAAACCTAGAACATGAACCAATACGACTAACAGAGAAAAATGTACGACTGTCAAAACTTAGAGAGAAATATGAAAATTGCACCGCTAGAGAAAAGTACAAAAAAGGCTATAAAGGTACAAAAAAACCTATGAAAGGTGCAAAAAAAGGCTAAAGAAGGCTTGGAACAAGTTTTAAAGGTCGATAAAAACAATTAAATACGTTAATTACAGAGAAAAACGCAAAGCGATAAAACAAAAGTTGTCATAGGGCGAGAGAAAATAATATAGCTGAAGAATTAAAAAAGACAGTGAAAAACTTCTTGAGCATCAAAAGACAGAAAAACTACTTTCAAAATTACAAGGACCAGAAATAAACCACCCAAAGTTTTTGTTCGAACTAAAACTATATTTTATCCATCCCTGAAAAAATGTTTACAACAACCTGGAACAAAAAGGGATCATCCGAACAGAAATGAAAACCACATAAGTGAATAATTTGGATTTTTATTCGACCAATTATCCTAGCTTCAAATCTTGAAAGTGCTTCACGTCTTCACTGCAACAAAAATTGGGTGATCAACGATAGCAAGTCAAGTTGGAAAAGTTTCTTTTGTAGAATTTACCGCGATTAAACATCAACTAAATGCCAGATTCAAAGAAATCCATTTATTTAACTTCTCCCCGGCGACGCAAAAAAATACTGCAAGATAAAAAGTGATATGGACGTTGAGCTCCCTCAAAAAATCCTAAAATTCTGGCAAATTTGTCTAATAACAACCTTTCAGTTTTCATTTCTGATAAATTTGTACAAATGACGGCTGCGAATACAAAAAATGACAGTTTTCAAAAAGAAGTTATTATTATTATTATTAAAAGGAATTTATGTAACGAGGGTTACAAAGAGGTTTCCCTCAGATACAAATTTACAGAAAAACGGCAGGAGCACGAAACTTTCATTGTATTTTTCATTAAAGAAGCACCAGAGAAAACTAATAAGTCTTCCTTTAAGACCAATGGGATTGAAGAAATCTATCGCCTCTTCGGAAAAGTTGGAGAGAATATAAGAATTAGGAGGTACAAAGAGAATATAAGAATTAGGAGGTATCATTGATAGTAATTTTTCGTTCGAAGCAAACATTTTCCCTAAGAAAAAGCAAACTCAATTATCGCAATTATCAAGAAAAATTTCAATAAGATGCTCGTATACTTTTGCTTGTATATAAGAGAACCATGAAATCACATCTTGAGTTTTAAAATCAAGTTAAGTATCTGCGACTCCAGAAACATATAATTTTAATGGAAACTATTCAACGGAGAGTAACAAGATTGGTTATTGGATTCAGGGAGTTAGGCTATCAAGAAATCAAAGAAGTCAATTAAATTGAACAAGAACTAAAAAGAGCGTATATACCTCACAGTTTACAGTTGAAGCAGTAAAGTGAAGGGTGTGTGTCAACTAGTTGCCTCAAGGATGCATCCAGCGTTCCCGCGCTGAATCGCTAGGTCTAGCTTTTGTTTGAGAAATTTAAAAGCTAGTTTCTCACCCGTTAAGACTGTTATGCGCCTTGCAAGTTCTTTCAAGAAAACTGCAGTAGACCTACCAGCGCCACCCAGTGTTTCCATGGCAACGGGTTCGAAAATTACAGTGGAAGGGAGGTCTGAATAATGGTTTCTTTTTCGGATTTCGGCCTCGGAAGCTGCATTGGCACCCGGAAGAACTCCCATTCGCAGATTAGAGTTTCCCAAACGACTTATACATGTGAAATCCCATGCCAAGGTCAGTCCTCGCTGCCATGGCATTAGTGTGTGTCCATCTGGTCTGCGTCCATCTTTGCGTAGCAGCCCGATAGGTTCTAGTGTGGAACTGATGCCGAGTGATTTTATAGAATCTTTAATGATCATGTTGCCATTCGAGTGTCTGATGACCCTGTGCTTGATCTTCGGGCAGACAAGTGCGTGTCTTCCATCTGTTGCTGCGACATAGCCACATTTGCACGTGTGTTGTGCAGTTACTGGGGCTCCTAGACTCAGACCAGCTGAAATACGGAACTCATCATCGGACAAAGTCAGACCCAGTGGACGAGAAGGGAGGACGTCCAGCCAAGCGCCTGAACCTACCGCGCGACAGCCGTGATAACGAGCAAGTGAAATTTCGTCGGTACAATTGCTCAAAATGTTTGCGGATTGTTGTTCGTATATAGGTTTTGTCCAAAAATTTTGAGCGCACTGGGGGGTTAAGTCTTCAAATCGGTGGTTGCTGAGAGACTCCAAGTGGTCGACGGCTTCGTTAAAAAGACCAGGATTGCTTATCTCAGGAGCAGGGCGGTGCCGTAAATTTTCAGTGGAAACAAAAGAAGCAACAAATGCTGGTGAGCTGAGAGTGCTGGTTTTTTGAAGACCAAACCCTCCTTGTTTCCTGGGCAAGCAAATTTGACTGAAAGAGACATCGGAAATGATGCAGTTGAAGATTCTCTCAAGTTCAAGGCATACAAGTGTGTCGATTTCGTCGAGTATTATTGTCCATTCTGGTCGAATGTCACAGATAGCCAACCGAGGCAACAGTCTTCCTTTTTCTTCGGCTCGGAAAATAAAATCGTTTGGCGCAGCCTCCGCTAGTATTGTAATTATCAGATGTCAAAAACTTGTGAAGAAAAGTGTCATGAGAATAGATAAACCTATGATCAAGATTGACTGCGGAAGCTATATCCTTCCTCCCTTTAACACTGAAAAAGACAAGGAGCATGTTCAAAAATGTTCAAATTTTGTTTTACTGTTATGACCAAAAGCGACAAAAATCTATTCGAATGAAACAACTCAGACTTAAGGATGAATGACAGGAAAAATGCGAAGAGAGCCAATTTCGATACAAGAAACCACTTTTTTCTAATCAGAGCTGCAACAGATTGGAACAACATTTCTCGAGAAACAGTGAACTCGAAAACAACTAACGCATTCAAAAAAAGATGACATTTATTGTACGAAAAATAGGTTTATCGTGCATGATACGAGGTAAATGAAAAAGAATACATACTGAGTTTAAATATATAATAGCCGTTCAATTCAAATTTTTAAAAACCACTAAGTTTTTTATATTTAAGTTCTTTGAAAAACTTTAAAATCTTTCAAAAATTAAGAAACATCACATCTCCGAATCCAAAACTAATTGGGCAGTCGCATTTGGACGCAAGATTTGCAACTCCTGAGAGAGCTCTTACAGTACCAACTACAGCGTTGGGAATTTCAAATTTTGAGAAACTTAAAATTTGAGTTTTCTAAAAAAAAAACCATTAAAAAAGTCATATCTCGTAAACAACCAAAAGATTTTAGCAACCACAATTGGAAGCAAGATCTCTCGCAATCCCTGAGAGTACTCTGACAGCCCCCAACTACAATGGGTTAGGAACTTCAAAATTTGAAAAAAAAAAGTAAATTTAATTTTTCTGAATTTTTTTTTGAAAAAATAACAAAAAACGTCTAAATCTGGAAAACTACGAAGGCTTGAGCAGTCACCGTTGGAGGCAAGATTTGCAAGACCTGAGACCTTGAGACCACTCTGACAGCCCCAAAGTAAACGGTTGGGAAATTCAAATTTAGAAGAAATAAAATTAAATTTAAGTTTTCTGAAAACTTTTTGAAAAAAAAAATTACAAAAAACGTCAGATCTCAAAAACTACAAAGATTTGAGCACTCATATTTGGAGACAAAATTCACAACTCCTGGGAGTACCCTGACAGAGCCTCACTATAGAGGTGAGAACTTCAAATTTTGTGAAATTATTGATGTCTATGTACTGAGACAATCGTGACATCCCCCAACTACAGGGTTGCGAATTTCAAATTTTCAGAAACTTTTAAAAATTAAATTTTTCCAGAAACTTCGGAAAAATCTCGAAAAGTGCCGTATCTCGTAGACTAAAAGAGTTGCTTATTGATGTATTATGGCCAAAATCACAACATCCGGGGAAACCCTGACAGTATCTCTATTGGGTTGCTCCTTTCAAACTTGGTGAAGTAAACACTGATTTCAAACAGAAAAATTGAAAAAAACTTAACCATTGCAATATACGATATAGCTTAAACGTGAAAAAACTCTTTCGTTAAGCATGCTAAAAATAATACGTTGAAAAAGCTTAAGCATGGCGATATAGTGAAGCCCGCATTTAAATATATAATAGGTTGTAAATAAATAACCAAGAAAAATGGGTAACTTTTTGAGCATTTTAGCGTGACTAAAATGAGCATTTTAGGTGAATTTATTTCGCTCAGATTCGTTGACCTAAAAGGATAAATATTATTCAAACTTTTGTGAATACATCGCTTTTACTAATTTTGGAAAC